ATTGTCTATTATTACAAAAGCAACCGTACATTCTTATACTAACAATAAAAGACGACAATGACGGTGACGATAAAAACGATTTTTAAACAGATATTTTCTAATTCAATATTTTATATTCAACTGCTATTTAGCGGCTCAGTGAGCGCATACCTATCTAGTATTAGATGTACGCATTGATTAATAATTATACTTTTTTGAGTGAATTTTCGACGAGCTAGTTTTACGACAGTCACAATTTATTGTGGACTGTAAACTTTTTTCGACCGCAATATATAGTATCGTAATATATAATATACTTAATATTTTTACCGCATACGTTACCACTAAAGAGTAAGTAAGAGGGCGATAGAGAAGAAAAAGAGAGCGAGTATAACACGTGACGTCACATAGTATTTATAAAGAACGAATGAGAGCGCGATAATGAATGAGTGGCAAGAGAATAAGCGAAATATGAGTGGCGCTCACGCTCTACAGATGGAAAGGAACGAAACGAGAAAGCGTGCAATAATAGGCTGCATATATTAAATTAAATACTATACTTAGAAAAACATAATCTCTTTAATTATTTTGCAATATTATCAATATAATATTATTAGGTGTTTTTAAATGTGAATACAAAATAATATTAAAAAGTGAATGCACACACACACAAAGTATATTATTACTATAACAAAAATACTTAATAAAAATTCGTGAAATTTGCCTAAAATGAACATCAAAAATGTAAAGAAAAACGCGAAATATATTTTATAGTAAAATATAATTGCAATAGATTCAATATAGGATGCAAAGAATATTTAAAATGTAAAAAAATATAACAGCAAAATAAAATGAGAGCATGAAATACAATAGCGTAATGAGAGGCCATTTTTAGTGTTCTTTTTTAAACGGATATCCTTAACATACATAACAGTATGAAATAAAATATGTTTTTACTAAATAAATATTTTAAGATATTAAATAGCCGAAATAATGGATGTAAAATCATTTAACACTGGCAATGATTAAAAGAAAGACGAAATAATTTGGAATCTAAAAATTATATTAAATGGTACATCATACAATATTAATAACGGTAGAATATTTTAAAATACATAAAAATATAATTTTATTTTTTCTATTTTTGCATGCGTATTTTGACTTGTGCCCCACTGTGTCAACTGTGTGTGGGTAAGAGGCGACAGTAAAACGGCACTGAAAGGATACGCCTACTTACTGACGTATACAGTACTACATCGATCCTATACGTGTACCTCGCCGCCATCGACATCGAACTATAAAAATAATGCAGATGACCGTACAGACCGTAGAACGTATATTCTTTGCGACGCGTCGCGTCGCGGCAAACGGAAATAAAATGTGATTTGTTTGATTTATACACAATACCGAGGGACTCATGCTTGTCGTTTATCTTTTATACGCGATCTACTGTTTTTCGGGAAATATCTGCGTATATAATAATTTACTTAATATAAAGTTAGTACCTTGAAACCCAACACTTTTTCTTATATAAATATATTTTTTGGTATAGTAATATGTAAGCTGCTCATAATAATTTTTAATTTTGTCTTTCAAAAGTTTTTAATATGGTTCACTAAAATATTGGTTCACTGAAAAGAGTAAACAAATTTAGTTTAATTAAAAAAACCAAGAATTTTTACTTTTCCAAATAGACATGATGCATTTTTTATGACATATATATGAATAATGTATACGCAATATCTTTAAAAATTTTTAGTTCATTAGCTAAGCTTTCAAATAATTATTTTCATACGTCGTTGTCGAGAAAAAGCTCTTGGAAATTCTATTTTCTTAATAATCATTATATATAATAAATAATTATATGATCTTTTACCGTTAAGGAAACAAAAAATTGTTTTATTAAAAGTTTGTAATGGTCTGTGTTATAGTACTTTGTAATTCATCCAACATATTATTTGCAATTTTAGATATTATTATAATTTTTAACATTTTTATTAATAATAAAATTATCTTTTATTTATTAATAATTAAGTTTCTCTCTAAATCTGAATCAGTGAATAGTCACTGATTCAGATTTAGAGAGTTTGGAATTGTATCTTGTAAATTATAGATAAATAGATGTGTAATTAAACAAAGCAAACAATGCAAAACTATGCTGCAGGTTATCCTATTGCATTAAATTTTTTATTCAAATTTATAATACTAAAACTTGTAAGCAAATTAGCACTATTATCATTTTTATATCTGGTAGTACTAAACCAAAGATCTCAGGTGCGAATTCAGTCCTGGTATTATAGAACCAAAATAAATAAATTTTATCGCTTGTCTCTCCTCCTCGACAGAATGGCAGCCCATCAGGAGTATCCCTTGCCTCGAAATCCCCTCTACCTTGCCGTTCGGATTCGGCGTTAAACTTTAGGTCCCGCATGTGCTTGTGTACAACCTTCGTGCGCACCATAAGCATATGATTTGGGGAAGCCCAAGTCCGACTCGGACTGTTGCGCAATCGAATGAATGAATAAATAAATCATTTTTTTATATTTGCCTTATATTCTAATAAATTTTGAATCACTAATTTTCCTAATAATTTCTTATTAGGTTAAGTTAAATTTCTTCTCTACATGAAGAATTTTTCATTATTTAATTATGTAAACTCTAAAAAAGAAAAAGAAAATAGGAAGAAAGACATTGAAAATATTTATAGCATGAATAGATTATTGAAAACCTTTAAAAATAATACTCTATGTTAAGAACTTTTTAACATTTAAGACATTTATTTGTATTGTGCTTTATTACTACCGTAAAAATAAAACAAGTGCGTCAGAAAAAAATATGTGCAAAATACGTATCTTTCTTTGATTTGCACTGCTTTACTCTTATTATAAATAATATAAATAATATATTTATAATATGCTTTATAAATTAGAACGACTATGAAATTGAATACCTATCATACATACAACGTGTAAAATGATAAACTATACTACCATAGTTAACCATGGTTAAATTATACTATCCATGCAACTTTTAAGGACAATATTGCTATACGATTATGTACCATTAGTCCTGGTTTACAATAAGTGCTTTAAGCCGTAAGAAATTGACCAATTACAGACGAGTATTCTTCTCACATTCTTCTGTGATTGGTCAATTTCTTACGGCTTAGGGTTTAAATACCCTTAAAGCAAGGTTGTAGACTTGAGATCAATCCAGACAAACTTTGCATAGGTGCATAAGCATAAAGAAATGGATTGGTCCATTTCCTTATGCACAGGTATATGGACCAATCAATTTTTTTATGCTTATGTTTATGCGCTATGCAAGTTTGTCTGGATAGACTTTTACGCGACTAATATGTTATTGCTGCGCAACAATATGTAACGACAGCAACATCACTGTTACAAAATAAGAGAATAGAGATATTTTTCAATTAATAAAATACAGTAACATTTAATAATGTGCATACGTGACAGAAAAGATAAGGCATATTCCTAATAACTCTGACGCTCTAATGTCCAGATCACGTCGAGATCACGCAAAGAATGGTAACGAGTGACGTTATGATATTATGTATATTAACTATAATTAAAAATGTAAAGTTATTAAAATAATTAAAAAAAAAATGTTAAAGTAATAGATACAATTTGCACTTATTTTTAAATTATTATAAAATTAATACAATATAGAAAAACTAATTCTAAGAAATTATTGACGAAAAATAGTAAGACATAATATAAATAGATATATGGTGACTTTTTATAAACTCGCTAATTGAAAGAATACCCAAGTTAAATTTGTATATAGTTAAATTCAGTTATCTTATTTAAATTAAGAATAAAACGAACAGATAAAGTTCAAAGGATTACGCGTCTTTAATTGGAAAAAATCTTAATTCTGCGAAATTTTCTTTAAGATATAAATTTTATAATTAAAATTTTGTCACGCAAAAATAAGCAAATAAATTTTAATAGAAGATTAATTACAAAAGCTCATAGAAATCTGATCATCTTATGCTTGGTTGTATAAAACTGATTATTAAGCAGCTAATAGGGGAGACAAGAAGAATGAAATAAATTTCTTACATTTATCGCTAAATACCCCGCCGCCGCGCCACCTCTAAGAAGCTATTATACAGATACGAAAGAAAACCGGGAAACCGGCGAGTGTAAAACGTGAACGAAGCATTCGAACGAGCCACGCAAGAATGGTGGATTAACAAACACTGCACGCGCCTATATCGGCATCGCAAATTCGACGCGAAAGTTTTTCCACAAAGAAAGTTTTCCACAAGTTCTATTTCTTTATTGTGCAACTTCGACTTTTTACCATCATCGCTTGATGTTGTGTCCCACTTGCTTTTCCAAGATTTTCCTGCATGCCGCTTAAAATCGCTCCCATTTTCCACCATTGTGTTTTCTAGAGGTCATTTTATCTAGTATTAAAACGCCGCAAGAATTCCATGATTTCTTGCAACTTTTCATTACATTTATTTTTTACCGCAGTGATTTTTTTTTAATGTAATGGCATTTGTGTTTATCTTGCTTGTGTGCAATCACGCTTGGAAAGTTGATCGAAACTTCTTTAAGGTGTCTCGATTGTTAAAGATTATTTTCCGTCACCGAGACAAACTTGGAGTATATCTAACAATTGCACCAAGATATTGTCGCTTGAGAAATGACATGATGGATTTGATAAAAGAGCAAATAATAACCGTCGGAAGTTTACGGATTGATTCCCGCGCGGGAGATATTAATTTTATTAATTATCTGAAAAATCTATTGCATCTTTTTTTTTTTTCAAAGGAGAAATTGATTAAATAAATATTGTTAAAACATGAGTTTATATATATATATATATATATAAAAGACATTTTTTATCAGATCGATGATTGAAAATGCTATAGCTCTAATGCAACAAGTTGAGTGAATATGATCGAGAGACCTAACGAAGGAGCAACATTTCAAAGTTTTAGAAAAGAAGGGGAAGATGATGATTAAAAAATGATGTAAATTTTACAGGGCCCACTTTGGAACCACCATTGCCCAGGCGAAAGAAATGTCCGGAGCTCGCTTACAAGACGCACGAATTTATCACGGCAGCGGACGGCGGTGGTATCGACACCATCGATTCGAACGTTGTAGCTGATAAAGTACGAGTAAGGATTACATCACTGATAATAATTTTCTATAATTCTTTGTAACTTATAACAACATTTGCATAAACAAAAATTAACATATTAACAGGAAGATTTATTTATTCCATCAGGAATGATTATTTTCCCTTTTCCTTTTTTTCTAATTAAATAAAATGCCATCCTTGTTTCTTTTTTAGACTTATATTAATATAATTATAATATATTAGTTATATATAAATATACAGGGTATTTCTGGACATTGGCGACAAATTTAAAGGGGTCCTAGATCTTGGTAAATTGTAATATTCTATTTTCGGACTCTCTTTAGAATATGTCTATCTCTGAATAGAATATCCTGGAATATGATATCTTCCCTGACGTCAGATATCTTTTTAAAGAGCTAATTACAAATCTCTGAGATTTCACGTGCGATGAGAACATTTTGGGAGAACCATTTTGCCTTCCAATATATATTGGATTATTACGAAGGGTTAATTGAGTTTGAAATATTGGTTTTCAAACCACAGGAAGTTACAGCAACGTCGGCACTGCCACCGAGTCAGCTCAGTAAGGCGATATCTCGTATCAGTACCGAGTACCGGCTGCAGTTCGCTTGGCCTAAAAGATCGCAGTTGACGAATGGCGAGACCCAGGCGCCGGTCCTAGCTGCAGGATTTCCCGGGGGTACTGCGGGCCCGCCGAGAAAATCGCTCAGCATGGGTGCGCTTAAACAGGGTATGGCACCCACTGGACCCGCGCCGGTACATAAGAAGCGACCCGGCGACTTCGGTCACAAGCGCGACGGTACTTATTTAATCTCAGCATTAATCGGGATCCTGAATAACCCAGATAGCAAAACATGAGTGTGCAAAATCATGCAAATTATTGCTGGAAACAATTTATGTATTGTTTCCACAAACATTGAATTGTAGCCTCGGTCTAGGATTCATATTTGCGGTACTTTTGCAGCAGAGATGTATAAATTATTGCTGCAAACTGTTTGCGGCAACAATATCTAAATTATTTTCATTAATAATATGTAAATATACCAATGGAACCTTCGAGCGTAAACTGCGTTGCTGCGGAAATGTAATGAATATTAAATAAACCTTTGCTTGAAACAAATTTAATATTATTGTTGCTAAGCATTTGCGGACGCAGCTTTACATGTTATTTGCGCAAACTTTCGTCACGAGTTTACGCACATATTTTGTAAATATATAGGTGTTTTGTTATCTGAGTAGACGTACGCGAGTCTCGAATTTATTAAGTATCACAGTTTTATAATTTAAAAATTATTATCTTCTTTCCTCTTTCTTTCTCTTTCCCTCTCTCTCTTTCAATCATTTAACATTTCTGCTAGAGAGGAACCGACATCAAATCGTAAAAGGCGATAAAGTGACAGATGTAAAATAGAATTTTTGAATTAAACTTTTCTAATTATAATGCCACTATTTGCAAGTCATGATATTTATGTACCTTTCCTCAGTATATCAAAAATTTGCATTTGTGATGTTTGTAATTTTATCGATGTAACGAAGTAATAAATTGAATGTAACGAAAAATATATTTATAAAAAAAAAACTTAATCTCGTCATATTGCGCACGTACGTATATACGGAAAATATTATTTAACGTATGTTTGTGCATTCCCCAGGGGTTCAGGCGTCTGAACTGGAACCATTGGTGGGTAGACCGGACGGAATCGACGGTATGGTACCGGAGGGCGATGAACGCGAAGAGGACTTGTCGGATTTGAAAGTAGCTTTCAGGTCAGATTATCAGCCGAAGATGTTCGTACGGCTTATCGCGTAAAAAGATTCGATATCCTTGTGAAAGAGGAAGCGAAATAAGAGAAATAGAAAGTAAAAAAAGGCATCTACGACGATCCCGATCGGTGTGAAGACGCGATGATAACGCGACGTGACGATTATGTGATCATTACACACAAAATTGATTATTTGCAGGGGTAAAAGGTCAGGTAGAACCGTGCGGATATCGGACAATAAAGTGCGGGGCAAATCAGAGACGAGACCATTTCCCACGGCGGAGGTGATCGAGCTCCGGCGACTCGCTGACGAGTACAAGGTAATCCGTGGGAGACGTTTCGTCCTTTCGAAATTGGGGTTCTTATTCGAGGAATTCTTATTATCTCGCAAGTCGGCTCTCCCCACACGGTATTTCGTCCATCTTTACGTGAATCCCACGTCCGATCGCCGCGCTTCGTATTTCCTGCATCCAATTGCTCAATTGATCTGATCGTTAGGGTCATCGAGTTTATCTAATTATCTATCAGTCTTGGGGATCGGCGAACAACAATCTAATCGATTATCGAAATTCTGCATGCTTTGTTTTATCTTCCTCTATTCCGTGATGTCACCAATAACAACGAAAGTCCAGCCATTGCAAGTCTGCTAAATTAGATATTCCGCTGCTTTACATAGCGACATATAATATATTTCACTCATGACATACAAGTAAAATAATTCCGTCTTACAAAATATTTTGCAGCAAGTTAACCGTTCATTAGGCGGCTCATACAACTTTTTTTATGAAAACACATCTCTGAAATTGATCTTGAAACGATTTTCGCGATTTTATAATTTTAGGAATGCAATTCCAAAAATTTTTTGTCTAAGTAAGATACTTTAGTGTCTTCCTAAGCATGTTTTTGTGTGTTTTCTTAGTACCGTGTTATAGCATTGAGTCTGGTTACTTAACTTTGATTAAGTCATATATATTTAGAACGCTACAGAAACCGAATTGCAGTTTATACATATATGTTTATAGGAGATAAACCTTTTCTTTCTAAAATAATTCACGGAATATTCACTTCAATTTTTTATACTTACTTAGGAAACACTCTGTATAATCTGAAGCATCGAGTTGAGCGGAGGCACGATTGTCATATCTAAAAAACAGTTAAGCAGATGAAATTTTTAATGAGTTTGATTATTGTACTTGGGGTCATATTATACATATAATAAAAGTTTTAATTTTTTTCTGTAATGAATATTAAGAGAAATTTTTTAATATAGATGTATTTTAAAATCGGATAAATTGAATTTAATTGAATAAATTTAACCTAGAGATTTCACCCGCTTAACAGTTTTTTAAATATCAATCATGCCTCCACTCAACTCGATGGTTCAGGTATACATACACTATACACTTTTTGTCTACACTTGGCGAGACACTGCCGTGCCTCTTGATAAGTATAATACTGCTCATAAGTAAGTAGAATGGATTTACCTGATTGCGAGTAGAAAAGTTTTGTATCATTTTGCGAATAAGAGCATATCTGCCTGACAAATGCAAATGTGCAGCGAAGAAAAGACAGCTCAGCGTCACGCGCTGATTGAGTTTAAGCGCAGTTAGAGCAATAATGTGTAATGTTGGTCTGTCTTTTGCCACTGAATTTCACGGATGCACGCTCATTCACAGATCTTTATTAATTACAATTTATCATTAATAATTGCGAAAAATGCAAAATGGTGCACTTTTTTTATTCAATTTAATCCACTCTACCTATCCATGAGCAGTATTATACCTATTATCAGACACCCTGTATAAAATCATGTATCTCACTAAAGAAAAAGAAAACAGTACTTTAAGGTAATTCGTTCAAGGATAGAGTGGAAGACTTAATCGGAGTTGATGTTGATCAACGGTGTGACCAATTTTTTTAGTGTTACCCTTCTTAGAAATTGTGTCGCGACACCCAGCGGTAGATTAGATTTTCATGGAAATAACAACATAGACACATAGAGACGGATGCTGATACATTTTGATTTGCGTTAGCATCGTGACTGGGGTTGCGGTCTGGCAGCCGAAGACGAGGCTTCGCTATGGAAACGAGTCTCCAGTAACCATGCGCTCAACGCCTTATCCCTTGCCAGGCCAGTACACTATACTCCATCATTTTCCAACGAGAGAAGCTCGTTTTTATTGTTATTGTTGTTGTCATTGTTGTTGTTGTCGTCATTGTGTTGTCGTTGTTACGTGAGTAACAACGCTTGTTGATTTGTTGGTTATTGAGTTGTTCAACAATCGTGATTCATGTACATTCTTTTTCATTTATCAGTTTATTATTGAAATATTTCATGGAAACGCATAGTTAGATATCGCGTAATAACTTTCCAGAAATATTTCTAACGCCAAAATATTCTGATGGTATTAATTATATGTATTAAATGTATGTTCATTCAACATAGTTCCCGCTCTCGAATTTTAACTACGAATTTTAACTTTCAAATACGAAAAAGATAATAAATGAGAAATTCAGTTTGAATTTCCTAGCGCAAAACATTTTCAGAAATGTGTGATTTCAACCACACTTTGTGTATTTTAAACGCACTTTGAACACAACTATGTACCGTTTCAAGTACGTCGTACTCTTAAGGGCCCTGGCACAGAAAAACTTAAGCAGTAAGCAAATTGACCAATTACAGTCAAGTATTCTCAAAAACTTAAGATAGTCATTGGTCAATTTGCTTACTGCTTAAGTTTTTCTATGTACCCTGGCCCTAATCTATATGTCTATTTGTCATTTCGAAGGTCGTCATCGTACTTAAAGAGATGGATCTTTCCGATGGGATTGCGTTTAAGTCACTCGAAATTCTTACATCCGACAGACACAAATGCATCAAACACCTCGCTTATCGGATTTACACGCGTTATTATCCACACACGTTGTATCCACTGTGCGATCGTAAACGCTGTTCATCACGGATTTGCCGTTCACGCGCAAAACAATAAAAGCGAAAACACTCGCGAGAGTTTGAGCGTGCTCGCACCTTCACACGGATTCCGTCGTAGTTAGCTAGTTCATTTTATCGATTCGAACGAATCGATGGTCGGCTTGACATGATTGTCATATAAAATCGCCTTTTGATCGATTCAGGTCGGTCACCAAGGAGGAGAAAGAGAAGGAGAACACGAGGAAGGTCGCGCCGATCGCCACTATGTTACCGGCGGGTCAACCGTCCTCGGAGCAAACCAGACCGATTCGCGGCATAATGCAGGAGGACATGAAGGCAGTATGCAAATATCTTATCAATTAGTTTATCCTCTTACGGAAAATAAGCTGCTTTTATCGAAATATCCTAAAGTCGAGATGTAACTGATTCTTTTCTATTATCTTAAAATCGCTCGAGTGTTGTACTCTTTCTTTTTAATTTACACGATGATTTTTAATTTGCACGATGTCTTGAAACGATCGTTTTTATCCACAACAATTATTTTGCAACTCTTACCTTTCGATGAAGGTGTAGGGCAATTATCAGATAAATTAATATTGCTATATGGTTTATTGTTTTTACTTACCGGAGAATACATATATATATATATATATATATATATATATATATAGGATAATCGGGGAAATTGCTGAAACTATTATAGCTATTATTTTGTAACAGCTATTTGATATTTTATATTTTATATTATTATATTATGGACAGAACAAAATAAATTTAATATTGTAAGTTGAAGAAAGAACTCCATCATTTTTATGAGCAATGCAAATAAATATTTTAAAAAGGCAAATAAATAAAAAAACAAATAAATTGCTGCATATGGCTCAATGTTATGTTTTTAAAGTGATGTTTATCTGAATATGCACAATAATCAAGGCGTTTTTGAAAATTATTAAATTTCTAACATTAATAACTATAACTGCGTTTTCGAAGAATTTTAGGTAAATTTTCATAGAAATGGTCGTTCAGATCTTCCAAACATACAGGGTGGTCCACTTAACTCGCGAGCATCTGAAATATCTCATATCTTTTATTTTTGATGTGATACACGAAAAAATGTTTAAGGAAAAAGTTGTGGTAAACCGTTCAAGGGAGCAATTATAATGACAGAAAAAGTTTTTTCAAGATCATTTTTTTAGAGATATCTTCGAAACCTGATGCGATAGAGCAATACGGGCAACGAATTCGGTTTCAGCACGTTAAAATCCTTCAGAAACGACTATTAAGATCTGAGGATCAAAATTGACGTCGGTCTGTGTTACCATTACAAGAAGTTAATATTTTATTTTTTGTTACTTTTATTTTTATTAGTTAATAATTATTAATAACGTACTTAAATGATTATTATTGGGACAATTATCTTACAATTAGTGTTTAAATTTATTTAATTTTATTTATTTATTACAAAATAACAAGTATTTAGTTTTAGCAACTTTCCTGTGCACAGGATTGTCATCCTGTACATTTGGTTTTAAAATTTTTTACGCACACAACATAGCACACGCAATTATATTTCTAATTTAATTTTGTCACAGGATAATGATCGATTCCGCTCGAGAAAGGATTTCTTGATCCGCCACCATCTCGATCGTACTACTGGTGTGGGTATGTAGTTGAGAAATAATTTAATTAATATAAAAACAATAATAAACATTAATTATATATTTTCATTTACTACGTTTACACGAGCGTAACTTCTGTAGTAACTTACGATAATTCACTCGTTTACGCGGAGTAAATTATCGTAAGTTACTACAAAATTCCGTTTACGCGAAGGAATTATC